AACGTGGTGTCTCTGAGGGGATGGTGTGCCTCTCCAGGGAGGACGTGTGGTTCTCCATCACGCAGGGAGGGGATTTGGCATCCATTGGATCCCTCCCCGTTCGATGCTGATCCCACCAGCACCACCACCCTGCTCCGTGCCAGTGCTCCAGACAGATCCCGGTTATTTGTGATGAACCAAACAACTCAGGTCCAGTATGAGGAAACACAGCTGTGGAAATAAGGGATAATCCAGATGGCACAGAAATCCCTGGGGGACACTCACCTTGGTGCTGTGGGATGGGGTGAGGTGTTTGCTGCACAACCAACACCAGGGAAATACAAACATTAATGGCATGCAGGAGTCCTTAAAATCCCAAAAATAGACCTGGGAGCACAGGGTCATTATTCCTGGATCCAATGGCCAACAGAGATCAGGCGCTGGGCAGAGGCAGTGCTGTTCTAGCTGGGGCAATCACAGGGGGAGCAAAAGCCTCACTCCAGCAGTGGTTCAGCTGGGGGGGAGGGAGCACTGACCACATCCAGGGCTGGGAATAAAGGGTCTGGGATGCAAAGGGCTACGAGGAGCTGGAATGAAACTGGTGGGACTGGGGTGCTCAGAGTTGGATGGTGGGGAACTCCCGGCCCTTCTTCACCTCTGAAGGCAAAAAAATACATTTGGGACGTGTGTTCCAAGGAAAAGCTGGGAAGGCAGAGGTAGCTCTCCCCTGGCTGGCTCAAGGAGTCATGTTAAGGCATAAGGAAGCTCCAGGAAGCTCCGAGGAGGATGTGTGGCAAAGATGGAGACGTCCCGGGGGTGAGCCAGAGGAGGGCAAAGTGGGACCTGCCAAACCCCGTGTGACAGCACCAGGCCTTGATTTAAACCTCCAGCCAGGAGAGAAGGGGACTCAGGAGCCCACGACAGCTCCAGCCACGGGCACGACGGAGCCTCCAAGGGGCACAGCCGGAGATGCTCTCCTGGGTTTTGGGAAAACCTGGCACTGCTCCACTCCTGTGACCAACCGCAGCTCCCAAGGCCTGTGTGATCCCACAGGGAGCTGAAATCCTGTGGGAAAGCCAAACCTGCTCCACATGGCTCTCCAAAAGCCACCCTTCACCATCCAAAACCACAAACAAGGCTGAGCAAAGGCTTTTCCAGGCAGCAGAGGAAACACGTGCCAGGTCATGCCGATGCCACCAAAGCTCATCCTGGTGCAGAGGGACCAGGCCACGGGCAGAGCCAGACCTGCACACAGGGCTGTGCCAGGGTGCACGTCACTCCCTGAGATGGCTCCAGAGGGAGAACCTACACACACCAGCCACAAAGTGACACCTTCTACCAAAAAAAGCCCAGATTGGTTTGTTTTGGTTGGCTGGACAGGAGAGGTGACTCACTGCAAAACACTCAGGGGTTCTTCTTTTCTCTGCCTCATCCCAGAAAACATTTTGAAAGCACAAAAAGGAAAACTAAACCTTTTTTTGATCCAAAACAGCCCTTCACACCTTCCTCTCCACGTGCCCAGCGTGGGTTCGGGGCTCATGGATGGTTCAGGAGGGCGGTCTGGGCTGAGGGAATGCACATTCCTCACTTCAGTGAGGAAAGGAAGAAAAGAAAACTTTGGGTTTTGGGCAGATAGTGAATCAAAACTTTGATTAATCACCTGGATCATCATCTGTCACCAGCAGAGCCAGGCTTAGACCCAAAACGCTGAGGACACTTCACATGCCTCGGTGTCCTGGGCTGAACCCCAGTGTGACCCCAGCAGCCACTCAGATCCCATTGGGACCCGCTGGCTCCATCAAATCCTGAGAACTGGCACAAGCCACCACGTCACCCACAGCCTGACTGATTCCCCCACGTCACCCAGGCCACCCCTGTGGCTCTGCAGTGGCCCCTTTGCTCCAGGCCACCGTGGGTGGCATCGCCTCTGCTCCTCCGCAGGGCTTTTCTCCACTGCAAATCCATGCCAGTGTATTTATAGTGCCCTGATCCCAGTGGAGCCTATTTTGGGCCGATGCTCAGGCCCCAGAGCAGCGCAGGTTATTTTAACCCAGCGCTGGGTTATTTTCAGGGCTGCCCTTCTCTGCACGTGCTCCGGGATGGGTTCCAACTGCTGGGCAGTTTTGGGGGTGGTGGAGGCAGGGAAGGGGGAAAGAGGGACCCACAAAGGAATTGTGGAGATTAAAACCTAAACCAGCGTCTGCAGCAAAGCTGCCTTTGGCACACCACCTGCCTGGGGTCCACCTGGAATCTTGGAAGGTGGATTTTCTGCAGGATAACCCGTGAGCAAAGAGCAGGAGAGGAGGGGTTTCTGGGTGGGGAGACAACAAACAAGAGGGGAAGGAGAGCAGGATACACAACAGGGAAGGAGATCCAAGAACTGGATGCTCCTAAAATGTCCAAGGTCACCAGTTGGTGGCCCCAGGTCCAAGAGGGAGCAATGACTTTGTTCAACAAAGGCAGGAGCAGCACCATGGGATGGGACTGGGAGACACTCCTCATCCTCTGCATCCAGGGAACCCCAGCCCTGCTCCCACCGTGGGCCGTCCTGGAGCAGCCAGGGAGGGGAGGCCCCTGGAGGAGTCCTGCCTGGATCCAGATGCTGCAGGAAGCACCATTTCCCAGGTTGTGAGCCCAGACTTCTGGGCACTGAGTGGGGCTCTCTCAGCTCAGAGTCGGGAACAGCAGCTGCTCCAAGGCAGATCTCACAGCCCATCCCCAAAAAGTGGGGGTGCCACGGATGGGGGTCTGCCAGGACAGCAGTGCCAGCCAGGGCATCCTCACCTGCCATAGCAAGGGCATCCAGAGGGATCCAGCTCCATCCCCCCCAGCAAGGCAGCAAAAGAATTTTCTTGGCCAGAAAATACCTTAACAACTAGAATACATTAAAAAAACTCCACAAGGGCAGCCCTGCCCAGGGAAAAAGCCCTTTCCCATACCCTGATCCCCAACCTTCAGTCCCCACCACTTCCCCCAACCCTCCCAGATCCCCCACACAACCTTCCTCTTGCCTCCTCTGCCCCTCACCCCCTGGCAGGTGGATGTGTGGGGAGGATGGAGCAGGGGGGGGAGCAGGGGGCGGCAGAGCAGCCCCCAAAAGCTGTTTGCAGCTGGCAGGGAGCACAGCCCTGCCCGTGACCTCCCGCTCCCTCTGGGGAGTCAAGGATCACAGCAGCCCGCTGGGAAAAGTGAGTCAGGGCCGGAGCTGCTGCCAGCCCCTATTCCTGGATCCCACTCCACTCACACTCCCAGCCCCCCGGGACCAGGAGCTGCTGGAAGCTGGGAAGGCCAACAGTGGGAAGACCCAGGGGTCTCTCTCCCCCTCTCACCTTTTCCAATCCACCCACCTGCCACAAGCACCTGCCCACCACCTAGGTCTCAATGCATTTTTATTAAATTCTTACAAAACAGAATACAAAATTCTGGCATCAACAATTGTTATAAAGGAAAACTTCAATTCAGCTGTATCAGGTCACCTGGTACATACAAGTAAAGTGCTTATTTTTGTGTGGGTTTTTTCTTTTTTTTTTCCTTTTTTGTTTTTGTTTTTTTGTTGATTTTTTTTGTTGTTTTTTTTTAAATATTTTCAGTTTTTATTTCCCAGCCAGCCCCCGAGCAGAGGCCGCTGCTGCACAAACCAACAGTGCGATAACGTGACTCCTGTGGAACCAGCTTTGGCAGTCTTCATCAATTGTAAAGAGGAGAAAGCTTCTCCTGGTTTGATAAAAAAGGAGTTAGAGCTTCACAGTAAACATTTCTAACCAGTTCTAAAGTCGAGTTAGTTGGCTGAAGGAAGGGGGGGGGAAGGAGAGGAAGCCAAAACGCTTAAAGTTTCCAGCTTAAAAACAAAAAAACAAAAAAAAAAGAAAATCTTTTTGAAGTTGGTTTCCAAGATAGATGCTCTTAGGTGGGGGGGGGGAGGAGGAAGCTTGGGAAGAGGAGGAAGAAGGGTGTTGGTGAAAAGGGGTCGCTGGTGCTGGACCACGGGAGCATCTGTCTGGAAACCGCCTCGGGAGAGGCGCTGGCACGAGGGTCTCCCCAGCCATCCCTGTCCCACTGAGGCACCCAGAGGTGCCCAGCACTGCCACGAGTCAGACTGGAGCCATTCCAGAGTCAATCCCCAGCTCTAGAGGCAATTAAAGATTCTCTCCCAACACCCAGACCCTGCCACGGGTCACCCCAAGCGCCAGGTCCACCAACCGAACCCCCGCCCCAAACACGAAGCCAAGCCTGGGCCGAGCTCGGGTGCCCCCCGGCACATCCACCCCCTGGCCACAAACCCCCACAGCACCTTCCAGCTGCACATTCCCGGCCAGGGACACCCCAGGTGCCCACGGGACACGCTCCCAGCACAGCACGGGTCACCCAGGCCATGCGCCCACCTCCATCAGAGAGGGTGCGTTCGTCTATTTATATAAAACATCGTGCTTACACGTGGGGAAAAGGGGGAACTCAGCCTGCCAACATCAGCAGCACAGGGGGGACAGATAAATCCAGACATCCCCCTGCCATCCCCTTCCCACGGATTTTGTGTGATTTTTTTTTTTGTTAAAAAAAGGCTGCGCCGTGCAGCATCGACGATAGCTTCACAATACCAGCTCAAGGCATCGCTGTACTGTACATCATTCAAGTATTTCTTAATATAAGACAACGAGGAATTATCTACAACTGATAAAACAAAATAAGCTATAGAAAGTAAGAATGTACAATCAAGATGGACTTTTTTTTTCCTTTCTTCCTTTCTGTTAAAGGAGGCCTCTCCGGGGTGTCCCAGTGCCTGCGTGGGGGGGTCTCCCCTCGTCACCACCTCGCTCCTCCCCACCCAGCGCGGTGGGACTGGGAGAGGGCTGACTGCAAGGGCGAGGCAGTTTTTGGGGGGGTGGGATGGGGATGGAGCTGCCCTCCCTGACCCCCCCGGGGTCAGCAGAAAGGCCAGGAAGGGTGAGAGAAGACGGCCCCTGCCCTAAGCTCCACCAACACCCCTGACCATCCTCCCCCAAGGTAACTCACACACACCTCCCTGAAACAAAAAACAACATATATTGCATAGTATTGCTGTCAGCAGTCTTAAAATGAAAAGGAGAACTTTCTTTTTTTTTTTCCAGAGACAGCGACTGACTTCAGCTGAAGACCCAGGGAAGCCTCTTCTCCCCCAGCTCAGAGCTCCCAAACCCTCACCTGTGCACACGAGGCTGCTTTTGCAGAATATAAAGCTCCAAGCACTGAGCAGGCAGGGGCTGTGAAGGGGGCACTCCCTTCCCAGCAGAATGGGGGGGTGGCAGCGGGCAGAGCTTGGTGGCCCAACCCATGGCCACGCCTGTGGTGGGGTGTTGGGGGGATCTGGAGGCACTGGGGGGAGCTGGAGGCCAGCCCGGCCCCAAGTGCCTCCTGGGCAGACCCAGAAACCAGCCAAGGGCCTCATCCCAGCTCAGCATTCCGAGCCCTTCCCTGCATTCCTTCCCTCCCCCAAAGCAAGCCCTGAGGAGAGGGCAGTGCCTGAACACACGTGAACACGGATGCACATCCATGAACACACACCCCAGCGCTGCCCTCTGCCCCGACCCCAGACCCTCCAGCCCCACATTCCGAGCCATCCCCAGGCTGCTCCCCCAATGCTGCGGCCCTTGGGTGCTGCCACCAGCCTGGCTGCTCCCCACTAGTATCCCCAGGGCACTGGGCACCCTCTGTGCCCCCAGACCCTCCTGCCACAGCAGCCTTGGGGCCAGCCCGAAGCCACAGCAGGTCTCACTGTCCTGCAGCAGGTCCCGGCGCTCCTTAAGTGGCTCCTTGCTTTCCACGGAGCACAACTATTCCCAGAGGGAGTTTCTGGCTGCTCTGGCCACCCTGAACACCTCATCCCCCTCACACCTCCACCAGGGCACAGCCACCAGCGCCTCCAAACCCAGGCAGTACAACCCCTGCCCTGGCACAAGAGCACAGCCCTGGGTGCCTGCAAATCCCTGGCTCTGGCCTTACCCCCGGGAGCCGCCACCGGAGCGTGGGAGGGAGGAAAGGAAGACATTTCTCTGTGCCCTGTAGAGAAGCACAGCTAGCAGTTTAAAACCAACAATCATTAAAAAAAAAAAAAAAAGGAAAAAGAAAGAAAAGAAGGGGGTGAATAGCTTATTCTGGGATGCCGAGGAGAGAGGGTGGCTCGGTGGGACAGGGCACTGCTCCCTCGCTGGCACCGTCTCCCCCCGGCCCGAGCGGTTCCCTGCACAACACCCACCGTGTCCCCCTGGAGCAGAGCCAGGGACAGCCCCCAGCACGGGACGGAGGTGCCCCCCGGACCCCCGGGAAAGGGGGGTTTTGTGGGATCTACCCCAAACTTCGGAGAAAAACCTGCAGCTCCGAGGGGAGGGACGAGGTTAAAACGCGACTCCCGTTGTTGGAAACGCGACCGAGGGTCTTTTGTTCACAGTATGAAATGAGCTGAAATCGTCAAAGCAGCCGCGGGCACAAAGAGTCCTTTGGTGTCGGGGAGGGGGGGAAATGTCAGAGGAGAAACCAAGAGTCGGGGAACAAAAGTCCGTGTGTCTGTCAGATGTCCTTGAGTGTGCCCTGGGTGAAGCAACCTCACGCTTGATTTAATACCTTAAAAAAAAAAAAAAAAAGATCTTAAACAAACCCTCCCACCCCCAGACCTACAAGATCAGCAAAACCTTGGAAACCAGCCACAGGGACGAGTCCTGATCTTGTCACTAGCCAGAAACAGTGGGGTTGGGGGGGGGGAAAGGGGGGAAGAAAGAAAGGAGAAGGGGGGATATGGGGTCCAGCAGGTGCAGGGGGCACCGCTCAGGCTTGGTCGGCCACCAGGACCAGCGGGGCCACCAGGTGCTGCCCGGCGGCCACTGCCTTGGCCAGGCTGCTCTTCTGCCGCCGCTTGGCCAGCTTGGACTCGGAGGGGGGGGAGAGCTGCATGGCCCGTGAGGTAGCTTTGATGATGATGGGTCGTGCTTCCTCCTCCGCCTCTTCCTCCTCATCCTCGTCGTGCCGCGTCAGCTGGCGGTTGACAGCGATGGCCTCGGCGGCGAAGCAGGTGAGCTCTTTGGCACTGCTGTTCCTGCGGGGGAGGCAGGGGCTCAGGGGGGCGTGGGGGGCTGCAGGGAGGGCAGGGTCACATATCTGGCTGTCCCTCCTCATGTGTTGGTAGTGGTCAGGCACCGAAAACTTGGCTCGGACACAACTCGCAGCAGCCGCTGCTGCCCAGACAGAGCTGTGGTGGCAGAGCCCCCAGAAAGCAGCAGGAGTGGACAGTGGTGCTGAGGAGAGGAGCCAGGATTTTTGGGGCTGGGATTTTGGTTTTGGGACAGGATTTCTGGGGCTGAGTGGCTGGGCCCCCCCTCCCACACTCACCTCTGCAGGATGATGGGGGTTGGCAGGGTGTTGTCTGGGGCACACTGCAATGAAACAGCCGGTCAGAGCCAGGAACCCCACGGAGGGGGGGTGTCCCCCCCACCCCAATTTTGGGAGCAGAGAGCAGGGAGGGGGCATCACCACTCACCCCCCGCACCCAGGGGTGCTCCAGGACCTGGGCTGCGCTGAGCCTCTTCTTGGCATCTCTCACCAGCAGCTTGGAAATGAGGTCTTTGGCTCCGAAGGAGATGTGCGCCCAGTCCTTGTCGGGAAACTCGTACTTCCCCTCCTGGATGCTCTCAAAGAGCATGTTCTGGGGAGGGGGGAGAAAAAAAAAATCACAGGGGCTCAGCCAGGGGCACTGCTGCCAAACTGGGGGTGGGTTTGGCCGTGCAGGGTCCCCCACGCACCTGGCAGGTGTGACAGGCCTCGCCCCGGTCCCAGCCGCAGTCGGAGCCACAGTGACCCACGAAGGGGGGGTACCCACTCAACATGATGTACAGGATGACCCCCAGGCTCCACAGGTCACAGCGCTTGTCGTAGATCGTGGCCTCCTCGTTGAAGGCCTCCACCACCTCTGGGGCCATGTACTCGGCTGAGCCACACTGTGGGGACAGGCAGGTGAGCCCAAAGGGTGGCACCAAGGACAGGGGGGGCTGGGAGGGTCCTGCCAGAGCTCCCCTGAAGGGAGGGTGCAGACAGGGCTGCTCCCTGGGATTTGCTCCTGCCAGGGCAGATCCTCCTGCAGGGGTTCCCAGCACAGCGGATGCCACAGACCCACCTCTCTGGGGTCACCCAACAGCGAGCTGCCACCCCACAGGGGAAAAAAAAAAAGCCTAAAGGGTGCAACCCCCGCAGGACAGCACCAGGACAGCCAGACCCACACCCCACAGCACCCACACCCCACAGCACCCACACCCCACAG